ATAAAAGTAATTTACTCAAAAAAATACATGAGAGCAAATGCTTTTCAAAAAACTTTTCAAAATAACAAAAGTAGAATTATCGTTTTGGTAACACATTAATCTACCTTCACATCAAAAGAACTAAGGTCCTAGCTTCTACGTACAACAGGTGATGCACTAAAATCACCCTAATAAGTGTACTAGTCGCTCCAAGTAATATAATGATGAGAAGAGTGTCGAATCCACGAGGATTGTGTCTAACTAAGTACCAAAATAATTAATCCAAATTTATTTGAACAATCAAATGGGAAGAAAGTTTAACTAAAAAAATAATAAAAAGAAAATAACAATTAAATTAAACCTAACCAAGATATCAGGTACTAAGGCATTGACTTCACCATAATCAATCAATATAAATTCTGGATTACCAAATTGTTGAGTGTTATTGCATGTGATGGCGGATTTCCCTAAATTAATTAACTAGTTTTCTCAAGCCAAGTTAATCATTCACTGGTTTGTTAAATTAATCATATCTCTATGTAATTTTAAACAAACTAATGAGCGTTAGATTCTATGGAAACCTCTAGCTTAAGAAGGAGGAGCTACTAACTCTCTTCTCTTCCTCTACTACCACATGTGAGGTAATTACCTCTTGGTCTCATAGTCTAGCACACGGTTTATATTATTAATGGTCAAATCTACGCAATTCTTTCTCAAGTTCATGCATAAATCACTAAATCAATTAAAAGATGATCAGGCTTCCAATGCATTAAGTTCAATAATATAAACTCCTCATGCGAATAACTTTAACTGAAAGTATAAAATCACAAAATTTATATTGAATTGATTAGGCTACATCATAACCTTAATAAAATAAATCAGTTCATAATAAAAATAATAAAATATGGAATCAAAGTTATGAATATTCAAATATCAAACAATAGATAAAAACCCAAGGAAAAATAAAACCCAATTTGAGGAAATCGAACTCCTTGATCTTCTATTGTTGATGGAATCTCAATCTTGATCTCTAATAATGCCCAAAAGAGGGCTGCCACTAGCCTCTCAAAACTCTTTTAATTCTGAATTTGGATGGGTATTTATAGGATTTTAGAAACCCTAATTGAAATAGAAGTAGGACTTGGAACAGAAATAGGAAACTAAATTTTGAATGCTGATCGCGTGGTGCTGACACTTCAGATTATGTATTGACACAAAATAGGAAACAGAATCTCGATGTTTAACGCATGGTGTCGACACCCTGATCATGTGTCGATACTATACCCGTGTCAGGTTTTTGGTCTCCTTTTGCAATTTCTTCAATAGTAAAATAGCAGATTTGGTTCCTGACTTCTGGATTCTGCACAAGTTGATCCTCAAGTCTCTGATCTCTTCAATTTACTTCTAAAAAGTAGGATTTCTTCCAATTAAATC